AAGAACCTCTGTGAGCTAATCACAGAAGCCCTGTAGCCAAACTATATTTTACAAGGCAGTGAACCTATATAGAAAATGTACATACATGGGTCAGATTTGGAGAAAGTATCCTTATCCAGAAGATTTCTGAAATGAAAGAGAGAGAGAGAGAGAGAGGAAGAATTACACAATTTCCAGTACAGAGCAAAACTAATAATAATAATAACAATAATAAACCAATTCAATTTAGCCCAAACAACAGAAGCCTTTCTACCTAGAATAGCCTAGTGGCCAGCCTGGGTGGGAGACACCAATCTGACAATACTGTCAAGGAAGATGCTCTGTTACACAGTGGTGTAACTTAGCTCAGCACACATTGCTGAGGCTGCCTGGCTGTAGTTCCTAGCAGAAGGCAACTATATTCTATATCTATCTATCTATCTATCTATCTATCTATCTATCTATCTATCTATCTATCTATCATCTATCTATCTATCATCTATCTATCTATCTATCTATCATCTATCTATCTATCATCTATCTATATTATTATTTATTAATTTTCTTTTTCTCATAACAAATATCCAATATCAATAACATTCATTTTCCAGTCCCCCCCCCCCTTGTTGACTTCCCTCAGCTTCCATTTCTGGTTTGTTACATAAAATGCTGTGTATATATAATAATGTTTTATCAACTTGTATAATCTTCTTGTTCTTTGTAATTAAAGTTGTGAATATTTATTTAAATCCTGCCAATGAGTCCATTTTTTTGTTTTTGTTTCTGTAAATATGTTGTAAAAGGTTCCTATTCTTTTCCAAAGTCACTGTTGTCCTTTTCACGCAATTTGTCCGTAACTCTGCATAATTCATCAGTTTTTCTTGCCATTGTTCTTTAAAAGTAATTTGTCCGGTCTTCCAATTTTGCACTATTAGAATTCTTGCTGCTGTTGTAGCATACATGAACAATGTCTGTTTTTCTTTCGGAATATCTTGTCCTAGAATACCTAACAAAAAAGCTTCTGGTTTTTTAACAGACGTTACTTTAAACATTTTTTTTCAATTCATTATAAATCATTTCCCAAAATTTCTTAATAATCTTACAATCCCACCACATATAATAAAATGTACCTTCCCCTTCTTTGCATCTCCAACAATTCTTTTGTTCTGTTTTATACATTTTTGCCAATTTATTTGGTGTGACATACCACCTATACAGGGACGCGGGTGGTGCTGTGGGTTAAACCACAGAGCCTAGGACTTGCCGATCAGAAGATCGGCGGTTCAAATCCCCGCAACTGGGTGAGCTCCCGTTGCTCAGTCCCTGCTCCTGCCAACCTAGCAGTTTGAAAGCACATCAAAGTGCGAGTAGATAAATAGGTACTACTCCGGCAGGAAGGTAAACGGCGTTTCTGTGCGCTGCTCTGGTTCACCAGAAGCGGCTTAGTCATGCTGGCCACATGACCCAGAAGCTGTATGCCGGCTCCCTCGGCCAATAAAGCGAGATGAGCGCCGCAACCCCAGAGTCGGTCACGACTGGGTCTAATGGTCAGGGGTCCCTTTACCTTTACCTTTACCTCCTATACATCATCTTCATATAATTCTCTTTCAGCAATATACAGTCTGTAAATTTCAAAATCACTTTCCAAAGCCTTATCCAATCTTCAAATTGTATATTATGACCTATGTTCTCTGCCCACTTAATCATTACCGATTTAACTTCTTTGTCTTTAGTTTCCCATTCCAAAAGTATATTATAGGCCTTCTTCAATAGTTTGGAATTATCGTCTATAATATCCCTTTGGAATTTGGAAGCTGTGTAAGTAAATCCTCTCTTATTGTCCTCTTTGTAGATTGTTTAGTTGCCTGTGATGCAACCAACTCTGAAGATATTCCTTTATCTCATCATAGTCTTTAAGTTTTAGTTTTCCTTCTTGCTCACTTAATAGATCTCTGTATGTTGGCCATATTCCTTTCTTTGTTGACGCTTTGGATGATAATGCTTCAACTATATTCTAAATCAACAGCACCCAAGTGTGTGTTTCCTTTCCACAGAACTCAACCTTTCCAATGCAGGCAGTGGCCCATATTATCTCTTGGTATAAAGATGATGATCTACATCAGGGTAGTCAATGTAGCACCTTCTAGATATGGTAGACCCCAATTCCCATCATCTTTGACTACTGGTAGAGCTGGTTGTGATTGATGAGAGAGATCGTCCACAATAGTTGGAGGGCTCCACATTGGTTATCCTTGAGCTATGTACATGGCAAGTTATGTCTGTGCAAATATGAAAGAATGGAACTGGAGGGGCTTCAGCAAACCTCAAAATATACATAACTAGTCATTCAAGACATTTAACAAACAAACAAACAAACCCAATGGTTAAAATTAGAGTATAGTTTGCTATCATTATTCAAAATGGTGTCCAATGGTATCCACACACAGACAAAAACCCGCTCCTTGATCACAGAAAACTGAGTTACAATATCTTAATAAGTGTCCAAATGCACGGTAAACAACAACGTTCCAATATACAATAGTAGAACAGAAGTCTTCTACTTGGCATTTCTCAGGAATTCTAATAAACTCAAAAACCAGTGCAGTTTTGAAAGGTTCAGTCTACCATCATGATTCAAGATGGTATCCAACTACATCCAAGCTTAGATGAAAACCATCTCCTTGATCTCATTGTGAAAAATGGCATGTCAAACTGACAAACAGCTTCAAAACGACTCTCTTGTAGTAGCAACCAAGTCCGTAGGCACATTCAATGAAGAGTTTCTTGCTCGGCTAAGTTGTTCCCAACTTTATGGAGATCTAAGCCCCATTTGTGAAGAATGCATCTGGTCTTGATGCGGGGAGGGACACACACACAAGCCCGTCTTGACATTCCTGCACATTCCAGATCCACTTCGCACATCCAGCACAAATATATGATAGGGACATGCTAAGCACATTCAGGTAAATGTGCTTAGAATCCTCCCAGCGGTTGGGAATCTTGTGTTATCAGGGTTCCTGATCAAAGGGCAAATTCTAAGCACGTTTACTCAAATGCACTTTAGAATATCCCTTCATGCCATCATATTGCATGTAGAAATGTCTGAAGTGGAGCCAGCACACACAGGAGAATTGGAGTGAGGCTCCATGTGTGGCCTCTCTCCCTCCCCACTTTAAGCCTACACGTATTCACCTTGAATCCAAAAAAAGGTTTCACAAAACCATTTATTCTGAATGTAGACAGAATGTTGATTTATTCTTAATGTAGACCAGAATGTTGGCATGCAAGCACCTTGTCCTCCAAGGTATTGATTTATTTATATCAATTATCTTCCCCATTGAAGAGCAGCCACCTCCTGCATCCTGAGAGATTATGGAGATTTTAGGACTTTTTCTAAAGATATTAGGGGAAATGAATGGTTGATAGCACAAGGGAACTAAATAAAGGCTCATATATTGGAATCACCTGCGAAAGTGTTTGTTCTGCATTATTGAGTCCATTCTTAAATTGCCTCCATCTGGGAATGTTATGGCATGAAGACAATGCAAACAACAATTTTATGTTCTGCTGACTTCATTTTGTAAATAAAGTAGTGAGAGCTGGACCATAAAGAAGGCTGATTGCCGAAGAATTGATGCTTTTGAATTATGGTGCTGGAGGAGTCTCTTGAGAGTCCCATGGACTGCAAGAAGATCAAACCTATCCATTCTTAAGGAAATCAGCCCTGAGCGCTCACTGGAGCACTTGTGAAGCTGAAGCTCCAATACTTGACCACCTCGTGAGAAGAGAAGACTCCCTGGAAAAGACCCTGATGTTGGGAAAGATTGAGGACACAAGAAGAACGGGACGACAGAGGACGAGATGGTTGGGCAGTGTTCTCGAAGCTACAAACATGAGTCTGACCAAACTGCGGGAGGCAGTGGAAGACAGGAGTGCCTGGCATGCTCTGGTCCATGGGGTCACGAAGAGTCGGACATGACTAAACGACTAAACAACAACATAGTGTTTTCTCTTTATGAGCAATAATGATGTATCACAGAATAATTCTGTACTGAAACTATTACTGCCCTACACAGACTACACTTGCCATGCTGACTTATGTGCAACTGAGGTTGGTGCTGGCTGAGTGGTCTTCTGTGTAGATGATGTGTGCAATTTGGACCATACTGAATGCATCATCGCTACATGTACCGTATTTTTCGCTCTATAACACGCACCAGACCATAACACGCACACAGTTTTTAGAGGAGGAAAACAAGAAAAAAAATATTCTAAATGAAATAGTGGATATATGATTTTTGTGGTTCATGCTGTGGCCACAGACATGTGATCTGACAGTGAGTTTGGAGTAGCCCAATGCAAAAATCCTGAGGATCCATGCTTTGTAACCACGGAGGAGGGAAGGAAGGGGAACCATGGATCCTCTGCTCACGACTGCAGCAGATCCCCCCCGCCACCCGCAGGCATTCACTCCATAACACGCACAGACATTTCCCCTTACCTTCTAGGAGGAAAAAAGTGAGTGTTATGGTGCAAAAAATACGGTAAATAAATGCATCATCGCTACATGTAAATAATGCCCTATCTACAAATGGACTCTTGTAATATGAACAGAGGGGAGGGAAAAAAGGCTGCAAAAATAATTTAAGAAATTTAAATTAAATTTAGATGAAACATTTGTTCCATGCCAGGTGGTGGGTTACACTTAGACATCTTTGTGTGTTCTATGAATAGGAAAGTTTGTCATACATTTTACTATAACAGGAATTTGTCTCAGGGTTTCTGATACCAGCACCCAATGTGTCTGAAAGTTTATAGCTTCAGTTCCTTCAAGATCCCTTCCCTCCCTTTGCCCATTTGATTAATCCACAGTCCTCAAGATGACAAGATTCTGGGAGCTGTCCACCACTTGTCGTGCTGAATGCACTCAGAAAATTCTGCACTTAAGATCACAGAACTGTAGGGTTGGAAGAGACTACAAGGACCATCTAGCCCAATGCCCTGCGATGTAGGACTCTTTCTGCCCAATGTGGGACTCGAACCCATGACTAAGCATCTCCTGCTCTACCAGCTGAGCTATCTCAGATGAGCTGCTACCATAAAAGTTAGTGGGATCTTTTGCTGATTTGGATGAACTTTGGATTGGGCCCTAATGGCAGAGAGTGTCGGCAATGAATAGCAGAGAATAGCAGAGAATAGAAGGATTAGAAAGGGCTTAATAGCATTCCAGTTTCAGAGCCAGAACTTCTCTGAATGTTTCTTTCAATAGCTTATCTTCAAAGCACGCAAGAGCACCAATTAAATGTAAGGAGATATGCAGACTGAGTGCAGAGGGAGCTTGCTTTAACTCACTGGCATACTCATTCCAGGAAACGATATTTCATTGCTTTAGAGACAGGCTCAACTTCAGCGATTGCAGCAGGTCAGGCTGTTGCATCTGGGCAATGAATAAAGTTGCCTTGAGTCAGCACAACCATGTGGTTCAGTAACAAGGGAGATATAAAGAAGCCATAGTATTGTTTTCTCTCAATTGCTGTCAGTGAGTAGGTAAGGTGTGTTGGTGGGATTGCAGAGGTCACTGAATACCAGTCCCTGACTACAATAAAACATGGAGAACCGAAAGCTGCAGTACAGGAAGTTACAGAGAGTACTAATTACTGAGTGATTCATCCACTGTAATTCTTTCTAAACACTCGGAAGATTTAGGGGCATCTTGAGAAGGATAATCTATCCCCTTGTCTTAGGAAGTGACAACCAGTGATTAAGAAAGCAGAAAAACTCTACTTGGCCTGTTAACACCCATGGATAATGAAATCAGAGGGGCAGAGAAATTCTGGGGAAGCTGTCAGTTATTGTAATTCCTTGGGCTGCAGGAGCGTAAAAGGAGGGTGGGACTGGAGGTCACAACTGCACTAGCCTTTTTTTTGTTTTCATATAATCATATAATCATAGAGCTGGAAGAGACCACAAGGGCCATCGAGTCCAACCCCCTGCCAAGCAGGAAAAACCATCAGAGCACTCCTGACATATGGTTGTCAAGCCTCTGCTTAAAGACCTCCAAAGAAGGAGACTCCACCACACTCCTTGGCAGCAAATTCCACTGTCAAACAGCTCTTACTGTCAGGAAGTTCTTCCTAATGTTTAGGTGGAATCTTCTTTCTTGTAGTTTGGATCCATTGCTCCGTGTCCGCTTCTCTGGAGCAGCAGAAAACAACCTTTCTCCCTCCTCTATGTGACATCCTTTTATATATTTGAACATGGCTATCATATCACCCCTTAACCTCCTCTTCTCCAGGCTAAACATGCCCAGCTCCCTTAGCCATTCCTCATAAGGCATCGTTTCCAGGCCTTTGACCATTTTGGTTGCCCTCCTCTGGACACGTTCCAGTTTGTCAGTGTCCTTCTTGAAGTGTGGTGCCCAGAACTGGACACAGTACTCCAGGTGAGGTCTGACCAGAGCAGAATACAGTGGCACTATTACTTCCCTTGATCTAGATGCTATACTCCTATTGATGCAGCCCAGAATTGCATTGGCTTTTTTAGCTGCCGTGTCACACTGTTGGCTCATGTCAAGTTTGTGGTCAACCAAGACTCCTAGATCCTTTTCACATGTACTGCTCTCAAGCCAGGTGTTTTGTTTTTTGGTGTGACACTTTCCTGGCACTTTTTGACGTCCGATGCAGACAGCTGGTCCTACCTTGCACACTTTGTACACTTGTCCTCTCACAAAAATATGGATGTGAAGTACGTAAATCTCCAAAGATGGAATATGCAGTCTCAAGTAACGCCCTGCCAGACTTGTTTCCACGCATGGGCTCTGGTTTGCAGCAACTGGTGTTGAAGCACATAGTACTTTAGAAGTGATTTATAAATAAGAAAAGTAGAGTCTTCTTTTTGACAAGACTGAAAAATGTGGCATCCCTGAGCCTCTAGCTGTAATGCTGCAGGAATTCTTTGGTTGAGTAGAATGTCCTGCCCTGCAGTGACAAGCTGCAATTGCTTGACAACGATGTGCAGAGATGGTAGAATTTGTGTGGGTGGCCACAGCAAATTACCTGAATGACCCATTAAGCGTGAGAAGCATACAGAGAAAAAGAAACCCCCTCTTGTCCCAAATGAGACAGAATAACATGCAGGGAATTGGCTGCCTTACATGCAGCTTACCCTGAAGCAGAAGAACAAGAAGTGAAGAAGAACTGAAAACAGAACAGTGTGAGAGCAAGAGAAGGAACTGAAAAGAGAAGGAAACCAAAAGACCAGAAATTAGAAATATAATAATTCCAATCAAATGGGGACCATTTGTCCTTCAGACAGTAGTGCTGGCCTTTTGATGCTACCTAAAATACCACTCTCCTCTCAGCATTGGTTTCCTCAAGGAGTTCTTGATACATCACCCTCTTCCCTCCCTCCATAGTGTCTCTCATTCCTGCAATAATAAACAGCCCATTGGGATAGAACAAAACCTCCTCCAGTTTCTCCATTCATTGAGCAGCTATGACTTTCTGCTGGAGGACAGGGCTTGGATAACGATCCCGCCCCCAGCTCCCCCACAAAATAAAATAATACTCTATTGGCAGGGTAAGTCATACAAGGGCTGCCAAAAAATACAAAAAGATTCACTGCACATGAACTAAGCAGATTGCAGCTGCATCACACTTGAAGGATGGGAAGGGGAGCTAGTTCAGAGCTGATGAAGAAAAGCAGGAAGAGGAAGCAAGGAGAGTATGAGACAGGTCCACGGGGAGGCAGCAGAAAGGGTCAGACAGTGAAGCTTCCAGTCCCAAAGGGAAGACTTAAAATGTCTATTGAAGGCTCTCAGTCCTGTCTACCCAGCTATTTTGTGACATACATCAGTAAAGACAATAATAGCATGTTGAAGGTCTGAGTATTCAGTCCTCAAAGCCTTAGTGGAACTTCCTGGTTCACTGGCCCCACACTCACAGAAGTGTATATTAAAACAACAACAAAGCCAGGCACCCCCTGGTCAACATTAGGCACTTTATAAATAATAATGTCTTTTGAGAGAACAGGAGACCTGTGAAGAGTGGGTGGAGCTAGAGATGTAAAAGGTCATGAGTGTGGGTGTATTGGGATCTAAGAGTGGAGAGATAAGGGGGCAAGGGCCTTGAGGGTTTTGAAGGGGATGGCGAGAAATAAAGGGAAACTAAACACCTCTATTTTCTAAAGCATCAGGCCCAAATCAGGAAACCAAATTAAGACCCAACTCGATTACACGGGTGGCACTGTGGTCTAAACCACAGAGCCTAGGGCTTGCCTATCAGAAGGTCAGCGGTTCGAATCCCTGCGAAGGGGTGAGCTCCTGTTGTTCAGTCCCTGCTCCTGCCAATCTAGCAGTTCGAAAGCACGTCAAAGTGCAAGTAGATAAATAGGTACCGCTCCGGCGGGAAGGTAAATGGCATTTCCGTGTGCTGCTCTGGTTCGGAAGCTGTATGCCAGCTCCCTCGGCCAGTAAAGCGAGATGAGCACTGCAACCCCAGAGTCGTCCGCAACTGGACCTAACAGTCAGGGGTCCCTTTACCTAGTTTATCAGAGGAGATTGTGAGGACTAAGGAAGGTTTCAAAGCACTCTGGGAACAGGACTTACAACTGGTGACTGAAGACAATCTCCGGAATAATGCTTTGAAATCTGCTTCCATAAGGGTCAGAGGGAACTCTCCCCAAGTTGCCCTACATTGCCCTACATTGGCCCATCTAGTCCAGCATCCTGTTCTCACAGTGGCCACTAGAAAATAAGAGAACAGGTAATCTTTGTTGGGTGGTGGTGGCTACAACTAATGTTCAGAATGCCTTTCTGCCAGGAGTGCATCGTTGGTGAATGTTGTTAATGGGATATGGAAAATGAAAGAGAGTGAAACTGAATGTCAATGTAGTCTCTTCACTGTATCAACAAATAGGAGAAATGAGACACCAATCAAAGTGTCATTTGTGAACAACAGCCCAAGCCACCCACATTTCTCTCCTGGGTGGTTCTAGCACTCTGACAAAAGCTGTATGCTGACAGCTTCTCATATAGACAGACAGAAATGCAAACCAAAGGATGTCAATTTCCTTCTCAGCTAGAGACTATAGATCTGGGTTGCTGAAAAGGCAACAGAGCCTAGTTTTTAGAACTTTATGATTATGGAATTATCTTTCAATCAGCTATTTGTGTATGTAACCCAAAATTACTCATGGGAGAAACAATGAGAAAAAGAAGTTATGAGTTTTGGGGACATCAGCTTTCCAAGGATTTAAAGTCCACAGAAGTACAGCCATCCACAAAGCCTCATTGCTGAAGTCACTGGAGGAAGAAAATTTAGATGGTTAAGGCTAAGGAGCCTGGCAATAATGTACAGTGTAGTGCGACAGAGATGCTAACCTGGCCTCCTAACCTGACAGGTGAGTCACTGCTGCTTACCAGGATTAGACAGTGACTGGAATGGTGCGGTGCAAACACACAAGCAGAAATAGATTGACTGCACTGGTGCATTTGCACTGCACTGCACTGCCCTCACCACTGCCTCTCTCCTCCCAGAAGCAGCAATTCGTCTGCTGGGAGGTCAGGTAAGAGCCCTTGCCCCACTGCGCTGTCCGCTACTGGAGCCTGGATGTCCCCTCTTGACACTACTAGGAAACACCGTTTGTTCACCCAAAACAATCCCAATAGCAAATACAGGCTATGACACTGCCACATATGTAAGCCAACACATACCCCATGGATTTTGTAGATATCCAACCTTAAATTTATAAATTCATTTAATAAGCACACAGAGAACACAGCTGAGTTATATCTGGGGGCTGGGAAGGCAACATTTCAAAAAGGCACTAGTGCATAACAATTTTCACTCTTTAAACAATAATGTGCATGTCTGTACTGGATGTTCCCTAATTTCAATATTCACTTTGAAAGAAACACATTTTTGTTAGGGTTTTAGAGGCTCGCGGGTATGTCATTTTTGTGACACTGTTAATGATGTAATTTATCATAATTATTTTAATGTTTCTGTTCATTATGCATTATGCTTTTATATTCCATTAGAATCATAAAATTGTAGACTTGGAAGGGATCCCAGGGATCATCTGGTCCAATC